TGTTTCTAATAGTCAGAAGCTAACCAATGTAAAAMTAATATCTATATGCAATTCCACACATAAATCTACCCCTGATAAATTGTTTACATTGACCGACTGCCCTTCCAATATGATGTTGAGTCGTACCACAATTGTCAATCTTCTGAAGCATACACTAATTCTAGATAGCTACTAAAGCTAACTGACATTAGCTAGCACAGAAATTACTACAAAACAGCCAGTTCTACAGATATTAAGCTAAAATATGATGTGGAAGTAGCTGAGAGTCATTCAAAACACATATTCTGAGGGTAACAACACCATCAAATAAAATGGTCCCTAATGTTATTTTTAAGGTTTGATCAATTACAGCAACATGTAMAGGCTAAAACACATAATAGGAATAAAAAGCAATGCTCAAGTTGCTTTTCTTCCAGTAATGTTAGATCTTTATTTTACCTTATTCCCCCAACCTTTAGCATAGAGAATTTATTTGCGCTKTCTGAGCATCTGAGCTTGTTGAATTTATAGTTTAAACAGTTACTAAAACTCTCTGGATCCATTTTTGGTGGCTGTTTGTTTGTTTGACACGAGTTCTGCCTGTAAGATGTAATCAGTCGCCTCCTTTGTGTGATTATTTTTCCACGTTGTGTTGTTAAACCAAGCGGGGTTTTCTTTTCTGGCCTTGGAATGAAGATGTGTTGTCAAACTGCTGAATTATTTACAGGCTGGAGATACCAGAACGAACTAAAACTGAGACAGACAAGCAGAAGGAAAAGGATGAGTAGCCTTTTGTTTTGCTTTTACCATTTTTCATTTAGGATTTTTTATTGTTTGGATTAAATTTTTCTCACTCCAAAATTATTTTCACTCTGTGTCCAAGTACAATATGCAGCTGTTGTTTGTTTCATGTTTATTTCTGCACAAAAACATATTTAACACGTTTTTCTATGACTGCATGAAGCAAAAAGCAAATCGTATTTGCTTAGCACCTGATTCAAACRTGTGGTGGTAGTTGTGCTTCGTGTTGAGCTCAGTGTGAACAGAAAATATACATATAAAAAAACAGCTCTGGGTCAGGACCTTGGAGCGCTAACGATGCAGTCAGCGAAGTGCTTCRACCTTATTGTCGGTAGCTGCTGGCTCCTTAATTGCGCAGGCGGTCGCCACCGTCATCATTCAGGTTTACCTCCGGCCCGGTCATTAATAATCTGAGTCAGGCAGGAAGGGGAATCCAATCTTGTGAAACTTATTTGCAGGATTGCGTGTTTTGCTGGAGCACAGACTCCCAGCGAGGAGCCTGGTTCAGTAATGACGCAGACGCTTAAACGGAAAATAAACTAAACTGATGCTTAAAGGCAAACCCAAGATGGGAGCTAAAAGTGATGTGTTTCAAATGTGGACTGATTTGTGTTGCATTGGTTCATATAGGCTGCTAAAATGRATAATTATTTTGGAAAAGATTCTGAAGAATAAGCAGGTTATGTTTAGAAGAATCATAGAGTGCAATTCTTTTCAAAATTATGTTTGTAAAAAAATGTGACTTTTAGCTATATTTTAGACTAAAAGTATGCATATCTCCTGAAATAAAAAATAAAAATAAAAATGTATACCAAAAACAATAATCTAAACTTAGATCTTGTCAGGTTTAGTACAGAGCCTATGAGGTGACATCGGGGGATTTTTTATTTATCGTACCCACAAAAAAAGTTCTGGTTCCCTTTCAAATGTTCTGCGTATCTTAGCAATTTTTTTTGCATTCCCTCGCAATATTTTTGCATTCCAATACAAAAGTTTTGCATTCTCATACACAAGTTGTGGATTATTCCTACATGTTTTTTTGCTATGTAATATCTTCTGCGTTCCCTCGCAATATTTTTGCATTCCAATACAAAAGTTTTGCATTCTCATACACAAGTTGTGGATTATTCCTACATGTTTTTTTGCTATGTAATATCTTCTGCGTTCCCTCGCAATATTTTTGCATTCCAATACAAAAGTTTTGCATTCTCATACACAAGTTGTGGATTATTCCTACATGTTTTTTTGCTATGTAATATCTTCTGCGTTCCCTCGCAATATTTTCGTG